GTGACGTATTGTATAGACTGACTTTAAGTGCGAGCTATTCGTTTTGAGTTAGAAAGTTGTCTTGTAGTTCGTGGAGTAAGTTGCGTTATAAGTCTATGAAATTTTTGTACTACCAGAAGATAGAGAAGTTTGGATTGAATTGTACTGTGTTTAACTTAATCAGATGACGACGTACGTACGTGTGAACGAGTTTGACGTGAGAAACTCAATCATGGCAGACACAACACGGGGGCTCGTCGGGGACAGGTGAAGTTCGTCATGTTCAAACGTTGAGTGAGGTGCAAGAACTTTATTAATGATTCCGTTGATGCATTCATCGTTCGTCTGTGGATGTGTCCCGCGATCGGCGACGTGTATCAAATATCAGTAATGTAAATAATATTCCGGGAACTCTTCTCGGCAACGAGCGCACTGTCAAGTATTAGTGAGTTACTTATGCCGATGACTACAATTCAGCTGCCCACGCATGTGCCCACTTTTTCCACTGTCCGATATCAGTGAGTTACATACTCTCTGTCCAATTTAAGTGAGTTACCCACGCACCGTCCAGCATAAAGTTACCTATGTAATACCAAGCATTAAGTTACCAACTCCCTGTCAAGGTAGCTTCTCCGGAATATCCCAATGTCTTTATTACGATGTTTATTCTGCGTCTCCTTCCTTCCGTCCGTGGTGTTACGCACTGACTTCTCTTGTGAGAAATTAATCTCCTATTTTAAATTGATGGCTCGTTCAAACAGTGCACAATGAAAGGACGATACCATAGAGAAAACAATAGCAAAATTACGACACCCAAAACATTACTAATTACAATAAATAAGTTTTTTTTTAGTATTAATATAATTATAAAACAAAAGAAATGTAATTACAAATACTCAACTTCCAGAGTATGGTAGATCTTGAACCGGTACACAGAGAATACATTGTGCCACTTAATAATGTACAAGGACGAAAGCGAATAAAAACATAACTACACAATGAACAATACACATCTCGTAAAGTTAATAAAACCTATCTGAATCTATCTCTCTCTCTCCGTGCCTGTCAATCCTTTATATATGTGTGTCTACCGACGCGTTTAGAAACGCCCTTACTTTTCTAATACACTCGAGAACGTTCCATAATCTACTAGTAGACATAATAACCATGTTTAATTGGTAGTAAACACGATACTTCAAAGACTAAGCCACGCCCATAACAAACTCTACCGTCTGCTAGGGATCTAATTTAAGTCAAGCAAAGTTCAAGCACGAGAAAATAGTGTACCACATAACAGTGGGACTACCTGAAACATAATATCACAACCTCAGCCTCGGGGTTCCCGCAATCGAACCACGTTTTACGCAAAGTGCAAATGTTTTTAAATCCGATATCTGCACTGAACTTGAGCGAAAGATAGATCTAAAGTTATCACATCGACACGATTGTTAGAAACGTGAAATTGCAGATACACGCGCAGAGTTTCCCTTTTTCAACGGTGTCAAGACTGGAGCGAATGGTGTCCACAAATTTTAGCTTCCATTGCAGGTCGGAAGATCCCGAAGTAGCTGAATGGAAATCACGTTAACAATCATACCCTCAAGCTTGCAACAATATAATAGAATATAATGAAAAAAAAAGAATATTAAAGAGAATATATTTCACTAATCTAATAACTTAACCAAAATGGTTAAGTTTATTGCTGTCTAGTATTCGGGGTATGTTATAGTTGTTTTATTTAACACAAATATGAAAGCCAATTTGAAAAATATGAGCCGTATTCATCTGCTTACTGTTTACAAAGTTTTGCAAAATACCTGCGAAAGAATACTGCCTATTAAGTGTTGACTCTGATCGCTTGGCTTCTTTAATCGTCGTTTCTCTTTTTAATTATTTAACGTCAATTGTAACAGAGAATACCAAATCGCAGAAGCCTTTACAAAGAAAAATATATTAAAATATGTTATTGTTTGTTTATATAATTTCTTTTGAAAAGCCAGGCCATGGTGTTAAGCTGATATGGAGTTTTCCTATGACTTTACGCCAGAGCTTGGGCATTGAATTTAAGTCATAGTTTGCGCATTGACTTACGTCAGAATTAGCGTATTGAATTTAAGTCAGAGTATGATACTCAACTGCAAGAATAGATCAAACATAAGAGAAAATTCAATATCGCATTGAAGTTACAGAATCTCAGAAACTTCCTTGGGAGTTAGATGAAATTTTTATGTTGAGCGTTGGGCTGATATTCAGGAAATCTAAAAATGTTATCATTCAGAATCGATATTTCATGCGAAGCTAATGAGATCATTCCATTGGGGGGAAACCAGAAACTTTCGTTTGAAGGTCTGAAATAAAACATGTTGGGTCTTTCTCTTGTTTTTTTTTGTTTTTTTCCGGGGTTCCTTTCAATAGCTCTAGATAAAATGTGAACGGCACCACGATTCCCCAGGCAGACGTATGAACCTGATGTTGCAATCAGGAGAGCGTGACGTGAATCTCTAAACCTCAAAACCATTCTTATGGGATTATGCCCCCCCCCCCCCAAACAAAACCACATCAGAGATCTCATTAACAGAAATGAGCGTCACGACATTTCGCTCACTCTTTCCATTTGCATCCCTATCAAACGTTTTTTTTTTAAAAACCATTCTTATTGGATTATGCCCCCCCCCCCCCAAACAAAACCACATCAGAGATCTCATTAACAGAAATGAGCGTCACGACATTTCGCTCACTCTTTCCATTTGCATCGCTATCAAACGTTTTTTTTTTAAATTTAGACCCAGGGGAACTGTGTGCCTACCAGAGGCGTAGCGAAAAGGGAGGCAGGGGGGACAGATGTCCCCAAGCGCCAGCTAGTTATGGGCGACAAAATGTGATTTGATATTATTTTATTGATGAAAATAATGGGTTTGAGAGTTGGAAAAAGAAAGGGGGGGGGGCGCTTTAAAAATAATCTTGTCCCTGGGCGCCAAACATTCTCGCTATGCCTCACCTGCCTACTCCACCCCAACCCACCCACTTTCTCCTCCATGATACATACACACATGAATCGATCCCATAGGCATAACTACACATCAACATATTTACAACACACTTCGATTTGAAATATATAGATTCTAATTAAAGGAGTAGTCTTTTCTTTTTAAACGAGTGCATGTGATTCACAATGATCACACTCGCAGGCACTTCAAATGTAACCCTGCGTGTATTGTGTGCTTCGGGGCATCCTGCAGAACGTTTGATATCCAACAGTTTTAGATGGGCCCATTATCCATCGCGACGAAATGGCGCCCCGTGCTGCCACGAGTCAGACGTCATCACAGGTCTACACACGTGACTACAGCCAGAGGCTCGTGCAATGCAAATTACAAGTCGATCTATTTAAGCAATAACAAAAGTGTGTTAAGTTATAGTTGGAAAACACAAATGGCTGGCTGCTGATCGCCTGCTGCAGCCGTATGCCATATTTGATGTCGACTTTGGCTTAGTGATCCATACTCGTTTGGGGGGAATAGGACACATGAACCAGTGTTGTGACAGCTGAATCTAAAGCTAATCTGTAATTCAATGCGTTGCAAGATCTTAGAATGACAAACTCGCATTCCATCAATTTATGCAGATAGGCCCATATATAACTTAAAGATGTATAACAAACAACACATCTGACATTTGTTTTGGCCTTTTTACCCTTGTTTTTGGTAAGACAGTTAACTCATTTTTTCTCTTTGCTCCCGTACATATAACGACACATCATCAAACAATCCTTTGTTTCATAACTCTGCAACCAGGCAACAATTGTAGGGGGTCTCCACGAAGTTAGATATGTATTTACCTACAGTTCGGTTCTTATCTTGCTAATTACTTTTATTTTTCCTTGTTAACTAGAGATTTAAGCTACAATAATCGATTGACTTGTTTGCACACACAGTTCGTACATTGGGGTTCAACATACTTCTCACATGATTCATCACGGCATTGCTACAATACTACACATGGATTGAGAGAGATTAACATAACATGCTTAAGCTGCTTATTTTAAGGAAGCAGTGGAACAAGTTATGTGTAAGCTTGAAACAGAAAGAGAGGACAATACAATGATAGCATTTCGGTTAAAAGCCTTCCTCAGCAGACAGGACATATGAAGGAACAAGAAGAAATAGAAAGTATTTCAATGACTTTAATATTTAGTGTTTCCAATTAAATTTTTTTGCCGGTACTCTTCATTTATTATCCTTATATTAAAACTTATGTCGAACAAAGTATTTTGCATTTTTTGTTTGACCATTTTTTTTTTCGTTTGAAATCATCAGCTGGCTTAAGCCAATCTTAAAACTGTCTCCGCCTGAGTGTTCTCTCACGCCTTGTTACAGCCCTTCGGCGTATCAATCAACAATATAATACATGTTGTTTTTAGGATAATGAATGTGAAAATAACAGCGTTCAAACATTACCATTACATCATAATGAGATTGATTAGACACTGATATCAGAAATCGCAAGACTGCAAATGAGACTTTAAAGTAAGTTGTAAATGGATGGATCATCAGACATCGTTTTGCGGGGTGCACGGACACTATATTAAATCTTTTAGATGAAGTCGGATATACGGGCCACGTCAACCCTGAGAGTGTGATCAAACAAGTGATTAAAAAATACAACAAACCATTGTAACCATGCGCTTCCTGAAAGCTAACAACGGTATCGTTCAAAGTTAAAGATGTCTATTTCAGCAGGTAATTCCGGACTCGCAGTACACAATTCCGGCTAGCCCTGCAACGCACCTGGTGCAACTCTGTTTCTTCCACTGGAGGTGACCTTGGTTTACCATCCGCTTAGAGGGGGGATCATCTGCTGACCAGGGAAACAAGATAATTTCCATAAAATCACAGCCTACAGGCTTTGCAAATATCGGAACTTCCAGCGCAAACTAAATCATTGTGTCTCGAGACTGACGTTAGCCTACACGCACAAAAATATGATAAGATATATTGAGACTTCAACGCCACTTATCATAGCTTAACAATACTTTAATACATCCATAAATAAATTAATTTAAATAAGATAATTCTAAGTATGTTTATTAATATTTTTTCTTGTTTAGATTACTTCAGATTGGTAAAGGGAGGTAATAACAGTATTTATTATCTTTTAAGATATATTACATGATACTTTCCCTTTTTTCAATACATTTTGATTTTAGAAGCATGTTTCCAATTTATATTTAATGCAAATACTATTTAAGTTGGTCTTAAGACTTTTATTTCAGATAATTAAAAGGACAAAAAATATGTCGCCATATTTAAACGTTTCAACAAACATTTCTTTTAAGGCTAGAAAGTGGACATAATAAGACAAAAAATTCTTTTTCTTTAACATTTATTTAATATTTCAGAAAAAAAATAATTTTTAATTAAGAATTCTTAGAGCTCTCCAGGAATTTCATGCTCAAAGTTGACATAAGAAAAGAGAAAAATCTGATATGTTCTTGTTAAATGAATAAAAAAACTGACAAAAATATCAGAACACATAATTAAAAAAAAAAACAAATAATAATAAAAAGCCGAATAAATTGAATGTATTTATTAGAAAAACAAATATATCACGCGAGAACAAAGCTGCTTAAAAGTACATCTTTACGATTATGTATTATTACTCCCAAATTTACACTACATATTTTATTTTTTTTTGAAATTAGAAATCTCTTTAGATTTGAAACAGCTGTATCACTAGGCATCTTAATGTTTATTCAAATAAATAACACCCCCTCCCCCAAATATAATAGTACGTTTCTTTTTAAGATAACTAATAAATTATATAATTACGAAACAGCTCTGTTATCATGATCATCTTGCACTGGTCACATTCTTATTTTATCGAGGCAGCTTTGGGGTATTCTGAACACAGAGTCATCTTGGACATCAGTCACGTTTGTAAAAAGAACTAAGTTGTCTGTTGGCACTGGGGGATATAAAGTAAACAAAAGGCTTTTTTGTTGTTGATTTTTTTTTAAATATAAAACATCAATAGAAGATGGAATGTCAAGTCAACAACGCTAGGCTCTTCTTCTATTCCTCTTTCTATATATTAAGGGCCCACGATCAATTTATTGATTATTTTAGCTCCTATGCATGTAGAGGCGATTTGCAATGTTTCTATGCCTGGCGCTGATGAGGATATTTCAATGATTACAAGTGCTAACTTGCGAAGGAATCATGCACTGAGGGTTGGAAGGCTTGATGCGATAGACGCAAATGTGTCTAGTGTTTTCGCCTCAACTGTTTCTTTTGAAAGTTTGTTCCAGTCCCTGATTGTATTGGGAAGGAATGAGCAGTTCTTGCTGGTATGAGCCGGAATTGCCTGTCATCGCCTCGTCACTGTCTATGGGGGAGAGGGACGAGTTTCTGTTTAATACTGGAACAGTGAACGGGCATATTATTTATTTTGTACATCATGGACAGCCTGGATTGACGTCGTCGTTCCTCCAATGGTGACCAGCATAGTGTTTCCAGCATGCTGCCAACACTAGAGGTATTTCTGTAGCGGTTCAGGACAAAGCGAACCGCCCGTCGCTGGACCGCCTGCAACCGGTAAATGCTCTTCTGGGTAAATGGTTCCCGTACTGAAGATGCATAATCTAAAATCGGACGGATAAAGGCTTTATATGCTCTTTCTTTTACACAGGAGTTGCCAATCTTCAGGTTACGCTTTAAGAATTCCCAGGGTGTTGTTTGCTTGGTTACATACATTGTTAATATGCTCGTCCCAGCGGACCTCTCTTTGAATGGTAACACCCAGGTACTTAACTGAGGAAACTGTCTCAACTATATGGCCATGCAGTTTGTATTGGTAGTGTAGAGGAGTACAACCTCTAGAGACTGATAGTGTCTGGCACTTGGCAGGGTGAAATTCCAGGTCCCAGCTAATCTTCCACTCAGCTAACAGATTGAGATCCTGTTGTAGCTGGTCCTGGTCAGATCTGTTGGCGATCGTCCTATACACCGCTGTGTCATCTGCGGAAAGTTTTGCTTGGGATGTCAGTTTTTTGGGTAGGTCATTTATGTATGCTAGGAACAAACAGGGGCCTAACACTGATCCCTGGGGGACCCCTGACTGCACATTCATAAAGGAGGAGCTTGTACCGTCCACATCTACTGCTTGGCCTCGGTAACTGAGGAAGCTAGAGATCCATGTTTTAGTAGTTCCTTGGATCCCATACATCTGGAGTTTGTGTAGAAGCAAACTATGATTGACACGGTCAAATGCCTTTGCGAAGTCCACAACCAGCACGTCAGTTTGCTTGTGGTTCTCCAGATTGGTCATCAAGTCTTCTACAAAAGCAAGGATCTGGGTCTCACATGATCTATTGACCCCGAAGCCATGTTGACACTCATTGAATATATTTTGGCTTTCAAAATGCTTCTTGACTGTGCTTACGATTATGTGCTCCAACAGTTTGCAGACCACGCTGGTGAGGGATATCGGACGATAGTTGGCAGGGTCAGAATGCTCCCCTTTCTTGTAGATTGGAGTGACATGTGCAGTTCTCCAGTCTGCTGGAACATTTCCTTGGCACATCGACGATTGGAAGAGGATTGTTAGGGCAAGACCGATTTCTTTGGCTAATTCTTTGAGCACTCGTGGTTTGATGTTGTCAGGACCACATGTTTTGTAGGGGTTAATGGTTTTCAGAAGCGCAAGCACACCCTGCTCTCATATCTGGATATCCTCCATGACAGGGTAGGCTCTGTTCATCATTTTGGTCTTCAGATGGAATTCAGCCTCCGAGAACTCTTTACCGTCGCCAAAGACCGACTGGAACTGCTGATTGAGTACGTCAGCCTGTGTATTTGGGTCAGATGTCAAATGGCCATCCCAGCTCAGGGGGGGGGTGGGACTCCAGCGTTTGATGACTTTTGGTGCTTCACATAGCTCCAGAAACGTTTGTTCTTGACACCTTTGGTCGGCCTATCTTCCTCTGAGAAGATGCCGTTCAGGTAGTTTCAATAAGATCTGCGCAATAACCATTGGATCGTTTGGCGGAGCCTCAGTACCTTCTCTCTCAGTTCAACTAAGCCATTTTTCTTCAATAGTTTGTATTGGCGGTCTCTCCTGTGGCCCTGTTATTAAGCTAAGGGGAATGAAGAACGAACATTTTTGTTGTTGAAAATAATTTTCTTTTTATGTCCCTTGATATCCCCTAAACTATTTAAACTTTTTATTTCTTAAAATTCTCCATATTTTGTCGATTGTTTCATCTAGCAAGATATAAGGAATGGAAATATTTAGCGAATTTATTTTAGTGAATACATAAGTTGGCAATCAAAAGCGGAATATCTTTTGATACGTTAGTGGCGTGTGGACGAAGTGTGGCTGTGTGGTAGTGAACCCAGACGAGTTTGCCAGTGATAAGAAATAAAATGGTACCATTTAACACAACATTAATTTCCTGCTGAAAGAAAGTCGTAACAACAATCATTTCCCTGCAATGTGTTTCAATAAAGGTACACACGTAGTGAGTTTCTTGGCCGAGCGGTTTAAACTGAGTCAGTCCAAAGCTTGTGAACTGGCATACAATCCTCAGCCTAGACTAGTGAAAATAACACCATCACCGCGGGGCGATGGGACTCGTTAACTTTGGATGGCTACTCATCTAAGAGAAGGCAAACTCTGAAATCAAACCTGCAGATGGAGTCTCGTAGGCGTTTAGACATTGACGCAATGAAGATTCGGAAAACTCCAGCGACGTGCCTAAGAGCCATGTGACACACAAGGAACACCGCTGATCATCCACTGCTTCCTGGTCTGTTTCCAGTCGTCTTGAATAAACTAAGTCTTGCCATTGGATCAAAGAGGCAAGGACGAGAGAGAGAGAGATAGAGAGACAGAGAGAGAGATAGAGAGAGAGACAGAGAGAGAGAGAGAGAGACAGAGAGAGAGAGTGAGGCTGACGAATTGAGCAACCCTCCCTCACTTTAAACAAAACACAGGTCAAGTCAAATCAAGTCAAATGCGTGGTCACCTTTGCGTGCGAATAACGAACAATAACACGCATTAGTACTCCCCCCCCACACACACACAATTACTCTAGGCACAAGGTGAAAAAAATCGAACAGTGCAAATGAGCATCATGAGCAGATGTAGTAACACAAACCATTATTTGCATTGGTCGTGCATCACCATCTTCAGTGTGTGTGCATGATCATGACCGTGGAATTTCACCGGACTTACTTCTGGCCATGGTTCCTGCGATGTGTTCCATGACGGGGACACACCTGTCAGCCGTAACAGCTATCGTCATCTCTATATCTCTGTTTTGGTCGGTGCGCCGGAAATACCATGCATCAAAGTCAGCCGTATTGTCATACGCGCCGATGTACGATTTACCCAGGTATCGAGCGCTATCTGAAACAAACACAGTCATGGAAAGACATCTTACTATGGTTGACATTAAACGCAGTGAATGGAAGGTATTAAAAAAAAGTCTAGGTTATCATGTCCTAAAGGTATGGTACTTATTTGATACCTAGGGTTCAAAAGTAAGAGAGGCAATATAAACAACATGGGTAAAGGGCGAGCTAAGTATTCTTCGAGATAGGAAATACTCTTAAAGCTTCAAAAAGAGATTAATTATATAAGACGGGACACATTTTTGTACTGGACACAATGCTGGATGGGGCAGATCTTTAGAGGGGACACTTTAGATTGGATACATTGTGATACGGACAAATAGTTAGGCTGGACAACGTTGTTAAACGGGACACATTTTTGATATCTAAACAAGCTGTGCAATGGAGAGTCAAACTTCTGGCAGGATATGGAGAGTCTATTTTGACAGTTCACCAAAAATTGGGAAAGGGCTTTGGGCAAAAAAATATTTAAGGGTGATGGGTGGATGCTTTAATTCTCTTGAAAACTAGACCTAAAACATAGCTTCAGCCATTAATTTAAACTATTGTAAACCAATCAAAATGGGTAATAGAGTAGTTTTTTTGCCTGCATGGAAAATACTGTTTTTTGATACACACATTAATATGGAATAGTAGGAAAGCTAACGCACCAGGCATGCAAGGCTCCAACATGCCGCTGTTAAGTGGGACAGGATCTTTGCAGTCATCTCCAACGATCACGTACCTTAATTTCTTGAAACAGAGAAGGTGTTAGGTAACGGCAGGATATGGGATATCAAAAAAAAATCGAACAGTTTAAACATAGGTGGAAACCAACAATGATAGAAACTGTGTAACATAAACAAGCAATTAAAAATATAAGCATCTTTATTCAACCCTCGTTTATGTGGCATTAATAATGTGTGTTCTACTGCTTGATGATACATCTTTCTTTATAATAATACAACACTGCATGCTCATAACATTGTGCACTACGTAATGACTTATATCAGTCCAGAAAAATATGTTTGGTTTTAAAATAAATTAATATGTTCGACTTGCAAAATTACAATATCCTTCAGAATTTTGCGTAAAAAGTTGTGAATCTCAAAAGATAATTTAGTTAGCATGGCTCATGTTAACTTGGATGTCATATTGTTTGAATAGTTGGATATTATTGCTCATGACAAGTTGGATATCCTTGTTGAAGACAAGTTGGATATGCACTCTACAATAGAGTAAAACAAAATAATGCGTTCAAAAAGAAATTGGAAGCACAATTTTGACGTAAAAACTGAAAAAAGTTTCGCCAAATTTCCGTTCAATCAAATTTCCGGATGCGTGGATATCCTGGTTCAAGACACGTTGGCTATCCTGTTTCAAGAAAAGTTGGACATCCTGGTTCAAGACAAGTTGGATATCCTGGTTCAAGACAAGTTGGCTATCCTGGTTCCAGTCAAGTTGGATATCCTGTTTCAAGACAAGTTGGATATCCTGGTTCAAGACAGGTTGGATATCCTGGTTTAAGACAAGTTGGATATGCTGGCGCAAGACAAGTTGGATATCGTGGCTCAAGACAAGTTCGATATCCTGGTTCAATACTATTGGGATATCCTGATTCAAGACAAGTTGGATATCCTGGTTCAGGACAAGTTGGATATCATAGCTTCAGATATTGATACCCCACTGTTACAAATAGAAAAACATGTTTACTTACGTTCTTATAGTCCAATATAACACGATATATTGTGGATACAATGCCACCCTCTGTATACTTGATCTCGTCCATCACTTGGATTCTGGACTCCCAGTTTCTGTAGAGCCTGCTAGTTTGCTAGAAATAGATCGAATAATTAATCGTATCTTTTCATCTATAGAGTTAACTCAAAAAGAATTTTAACATCAGGAACTATAACTACTCATCTTCAATGTAATGCAGCACGCATTGTATCGCGTGTAAAGAAATCTGACCACATCAACCCAGTTCTTAAAGATCTCCACAGGCTGACCACAAAATTCCGTAACTGGTGTATAGTTGTATAGAAGGCTCTGCACCTGCATATCTTAAAGAACTGATTTCAAAACATGAATCAATAAAGAACCTGCGCTCTTCAACACAGTCCTTACTGAGGGTTCCCTGTGTGAACACAGAGTGCGCTCTTTTTAAAGCTATTGTGCCTAAATTATGGAACAGTTGTTCTCAGTCTTTGAGGGAAATTGAAAATGATAAAAAGTCATTTAAGAACCATTTAAAGACTATTTTTTCTTTAAATAGATTTTAGGACATCAAGCGCTGTGAGCATGCTAAAACAGCATCGACGCTAATGCTACAAAATTACTCAATCATCATCATCTACCAAGGTGGATTGCTTTGTTAAGAAAAATATGCGACCCCATGAAGAAAAAAAAAAGATATTTGCTATAGGTAAAATATTCACGTTTTTTTTTTTGAAAAGGCAGTTTCCTCCATGTTTTTTCCGTCCTGTTTAAATCGAATACAGTCAGTAACAAAGATTTGATGTATACTCATTTCAATACTTCTGTTAAGCTAAACAAAAGACCACTTTTAATAATCTAGAGGCTTTTTTTTTTTCTTCTTTTTAAAAATTGTTCTAAATCGCGAAGAAAGTATTTGACTCGGAACTGTACTTTGCGTAAATAGAAAAAAACAAGGATTTTCTTAATATAAAAAAAGTATTACTACATCGTTGTTCACGTCCCCAAGGTGTGTTTTTTAGAGGGGGGGGGGGATGGCACTATTTTTAAAGACCACATTTCCGCATGTGTTAATATGATTAGGTTTTGAGACATTGATATCTCTTTCTTTCGCACTTATACTTAAACATATTTTTATTCTAATAAATGTATTAGGCCACTCTCTGATCCACTCATCTGTACTGTAGACACCCGAGATTATTTAAATTTATTCTTTTTTTTAAAAAAGCGCTACACGGATATCGTAGCTCACGCTTATATAATTAAACTTATTTTAAACTTTAAATGTATTTAATCTGTTTTAATGTGGCAATTAGTTAATGACTTGTTCAATATGATTCGTATTGCCCCCCTCCTCCCACCTCCAGTAAACAACTCTCCCAACCTAAAAAATAAAAATGAACCTGAAAATTCAAAAATGCGCACCTAAATAATTATCATTAGCCTTTTATAGCATTACAATGCACAAATGAAACTATATGAATGCGCACCAAAATTAGTACCAATGTCCCATCTAAATCCCTAGCAGTGCACACCTAATTCACTATTAGTGCACACCTTAATCAATATCACAACACGCCTAAATAAACACTAATGCACGGCTAAATCACTACCAGTGCGCACCGTAGTTATGACCAGTGTAAACTTCGATCACAAATAGTGGACACCTTAATCCCTACGTGTAAACTAATAAATCAGTACCAGTTTGCACTTCATCACTAACAGAGCACACCTAAATCTCTACCAGTTTGCACTTAATCACTAACAGTGCACACCCACTTTTCTAACAGTTTGCATCTAAAGCTTCAGCGATTAACGAACGAGTATCGGCATTAATGGTCAAAGGTGTGTGTCTGTGGGGCGGGGGGGGGTGGGGTCGGGTAATGGTTGTATAATAATTAACAAGTGGACTCACTTCCTTGTCATACTGGAATGATTTGAGGTCCACTGTTATAGCCTGGAACTTGTAAGGCAGACAGCACGGCTTCTTCACCGGTTTGGGAGAGACGCCTCTGTCACGTTCCACCCTGCTGTTGCTGTCCTCCTGTCCCGACACGGCGCTGACCGTGCACACCAAAACGGCCAGAACTCCCCATGATAAATCTTTCATACTCAAATGAATTCAACCTGCGAGATTCTTTTGTCAGTTCAGGATATTCTTTTTTTTTTTTTGTTCCTAAGAAGAAAGTTTTAATTAATAAAACATTTGATTACAATGATTTTTACAGTAGAAGTCGTAGCTCATCTCTAGCCTTCAAACGTCACTGCGTAGATTAAGAGTATCAGAATATGGCTCAAGTGCCGGACAGTAAAAAAGTATCTTTAAAATGTAGAATTTTCTATGTCGTTATTATGTCTATTTTGGATCTGGTAGGAAACAAAGACAAAGGCAGTACAACTAGAGAATGGCCTAGTAGTTTGGAGTGTTCTGACACGTTCCTAAGAAAACTTTTTAGTGGTACAGTCTGCTGACTGCAATTTAAGCTTATAGTTACATCATCCATTACATTGTGAGAAAATTGCTTAAAATGGAGCAATCATTATATGCAAAGGTCATTTATTGTTAGAGTAATTGGACATTGATATAGATTCACAAAGTCCTGTCTACCATCAGTAGTTGTGTCCCTGGGTTTTATGTTTTACTTTAACGCATGTGTGAATGTGTAGTAAGCTACTCAGGGAAGTGCATCCCTCATAAGTGAAAATAATGCGTTCTACACTTATAAGAGTGAATAGAAGGTTCTCCACACATGTTGCCCATCAGCAGTGAATACAAGGTTCTCAACTGTGTAAAATGTGTTTCTTAAAAACAACTGACAGAAAACGTTAGTTCAGAAAATTGTTAAAATTACTCAACTGAACTTTACACAACAACGCGACAGAGGTTAGGGACAGGTAAAAATAAACATTTGGCTAATCTGTGTAAATTAACTCAGGTGTAGCCCTGGCATAATTACACGTTATAAAGTTTCAGGTTAGGGCTTATCCCACGCCGAGACCGAGACTCTGGTAGAATGGAGTATTGAATTATACTCCAAGGATTGGAAGGCTCCTGTTATTGAAGCTTTTCAAGGTTACCCAAAACTAGACTTTGTCGTAATCATCCCAGCACTGTGTAATGGCGCTGGTTAATTTGACCCTGATAAAGATAATGTTCACGGTGTAATGGTCATAAACCCTTCTCCAGCTGTTTCGACTGTTTCCATAATTTTAAGCGTCTATGTTTTTCCAAGTCTCCTATGTTGTTTTTTTTTTCACTCAACACGAAGTTAGATTGTCTTTTTTTCAAACCATAACATGACATTAATTAAAGAGTCACTGTCTTTTCCCCCCCATGAAAGAAATTTAGAACAAAAACAGCACAAACCAACAGAGTTATATTTGTATTCTTCACAAGCGTCTCAATGTAATTAAGATCAAGTCACCATCTCATGAGCATGTATCTACTGTTGTGCAGCAGGTCACCAACATACACTCACGCACACTAATCAAAATCAAAAGTTTCACTATACACGACATTACTATTATCAACAACAGTCTAACATTTCTTTATTTTTATGTTATTGATAATAAAAGAAAAGTATGTACAAAAATAAACCAATTTTAACACTGTTTTCACTTAAACCTGTTTTTTTAACTTGGAAATAGTTTTACAAGTCGTGTACTTTTCGAGACTGCCACAATATAAACAATATAACAGATGTATACCTTTAAATTTGCCACAAAATACACACACCATTAAACTCTTAATGCATATCTCAATTACTGGACTAGAACCAAGTAGACAGTGCATAGTTAAAATGAAACTTGTACCAACAACTCAACCCTCTTTGCATATCGCAAAGTTCCTGTATGAAAATCCTTTTGGAAAACTATTGAACTAATAAAATTGACCACACAAACTGAGACGTCCAAACAGCATCTGGTGTTCACCAAAATATACGATGTTAAAAGGTACAAAAAAAAACACAACAATTTCTATTGTTTTGATCTTTGCAATTCGAAATTACCCATCCACCTGTTACACTGTGAACAATCTGAACTATTGTTAGACAAGCAATAGAGATAATCATTTAAAGGTTAGTTTTTTTTTTAACGCCACACGAAAGTCGAATGCACAAACACAGCTGTGCCATCCCACACTAGTTTCACTTGACGGTGTACAGACACACACAGATCCATGTTTGATCTGTCTCTCCATTAAGTGGCTCTCGTGTTCTTGTACATGGACCCTGCTAACAGAGCTAAGGACCGGTAGATGTTTTCCTACCTGATATTAACGACGAAGGGACACACAATAAAGGCGTGACAGATATTCAACTCAATGTAGCAGTAACTGTCTAAGTTCATATGTAAAGAAATATTTACATAGATTAAAGAAGGTTATAAAATCTATTTTTATGAGATACATTTATTGAAACCCTTTTTTTTTTTTTTTTTAAATATAATTTTACAAACGTTGGGAAAAACAAAGCCTAAAGCTAGCAAATTACTTTTTTTTTTTTTTTTATTTATTTTTAAAAACTTTGGGAAAAACAAAGCCTAAAGCTTGCAAATTAGTTTTTTTTTTTTTTTTAAGCTAGCAAATTACTTTTTTTTTTTTTTTAATATAATTTTACAAACTTTGGGAAAAACAAAGCCTAAAGCTAGCAAATTAGTTTTTTGTTTTTTTTTAATATAATTTTACAAACTTTAGGAAAAAAAAAACCTAAAACTAGCAAATTAGTTTTTTTTTTTTTTTTTTTTTTTTTTTTTTTATTTTATTTTTTAAATTTTTTTAAAAAAATATTCTTTTTTTTATTTTTTTTTTTTTTTTTTTTTTTTTTTTTTTTTTTTTTAAAGGATGTTACCATTTAACAAAAGAACGAACTATTTTTTGAGAAATGTGTTTAAATTTAAAATATAGTTGGGTACAAATTAATGGTAAAGCCTTTTTCTCCCCTTTCCAAACACTATCAATAATTATAAATGAAAATGTTCCTTTTCTCTACCTGAGTAGTGTTTAATGTTCTTTATTATTTTTGTTTATCATTATACAAAACATTCGTCTTGCTCTACATTTCATTGCTATTTATATGAATGATAGAAGGTAAATTTACAACTGTGACCAGTGCTTTTTTTTGTAAAAAAAAATAGGTGCCGGTACTCAGTGATGGATTGCCTAACTTTTAACTACCAGTTCGCACCTCAATGCAAGCTAGATCACAGCTGCAAAGACGCAAATTTTAAAATAATTCAATTTTAACAAATTAATAATATAATAAATTAATATTAAATGTTAAAATACAAGAAAAGTCATAATTTTTTCCCCACATTGACAAAGGTACCGGTACGCCGTACCGGTGCGTACCGGCACACAAAAAAAGCACTGACTGTGACTATTCATTTCTTTTAAATACTCTTTTTTTCAGCCCTATCTAAATGTGAGCAACGAAACTCAAGCGCCCTACTGTAAGTTAATGAATTATGAACTGTGTTGCGATGAGACTGAAACATCATGTCTTATGAACGTCGTCTCTAACGTAGAAATGATCATCATTTTTCTTGCAATAGTTTTTTGTTTTTTGTTTTCTCTTCAAAATAGTCAAACAAGATCGCTTTGAAAACTAACCTACGAAAAGGGTTACCAAAACTATGCCATAAGTGCAAACAATGTAAGGGATCGGCATGTCTTCATCATCTAAGTTTCAGATAGCCGCAAGACAAAGTTAAAAAATGTTCCACTACAGGAATTCAAAATCTATTCTTCTTACTTGTGTGTGTGTGATGTGTGTGTGTGGTGTGTGTGTGTGTGTGTGATGTGTGTGTGTGTCGGGTTGGGATGGGGACTGTGGCTGGTGTTTTTACCGTCTTGTAAATCTCAGCGGTATTCAATTGGAGCGAGATTCTCGTGTATGAAATAAAGGCAATTGATCGAGACCCAAAGCGTTGTTGCTTTCCTTCCACTGAGCCATCATAATGAAGGATCGATACTTTGTTGTGATCGTTCCCAAAATAACTTTTTTCTCCATGAACACGGAGCGCCGACTCTTATTGGCACTTCCGTTTAGGTTCACATGAAGAAACAAAAGGGGGCATTGGTTCAGCCTTTGTAAAACTAGCTGGCTATTCACATTCATGAACTTTTAAGGGTTAAGACAAGTACCTAACACCAAAGAGACGGATAGTAATATACATTATTTATAGGTTGATTCCTTTGTTATCTACTGATTCTCATTACATGGTTTTATTTCTTTTAATCTATAAATTGCATTTTTTTGCACAACAAATCGAGCATAAGCGTAATTGCTTGCAATAATGTACAGACTTACTCTGTTGTATGGATTGTTTCCATACACTTGAGATTTTTTCCTTCTACTTTTGATTGTGTCTTCACTGCTCATTCTATTTAAATGACTATTTAACACGCATATTGTGAAAATTAAAGATTTTTTTCGTAAACGCGCAAAGATTAGACCGTGAACATTTACTCTTTTTACATTCCCAAGCCAATAAAGTTCAGGAGCTCTTCTCGTTCTGAGATCACAAACTCATTTGAAATGGAAAAAAAATACTCACGATTCAAATTATAAGATTAATGACATCAGACGAAAGCTTTTAGCGCTGGCTAAAATGATTAAAACAATCAGAGACATGAACTATAATATTTCTTGATGTGCTAACTTTTTTAATTTGATGCAAGGTGACACTTTAACATTAAGCACACTTCAAACATTAAATTACAAGAAAACTTTTTTTTTTTGCCAAGAATGGGTGCTTGTTGGAGTAAAAAGATTTAATTACAATTTCTTTAAAAGGAATAATATTATTGAAAGATTACAATGAGAGAATACTGCGGCTAGATGGTAGGGTAGGTCGGCTTTGCAAGGTTGCGATACAATGAAGCTAACATGAGAAGTTATGTTAGTAAGAGAAGAAATAGCCATACTGTGATAGAAATGGTCAAACTTAGGCAGGGAGAGAAGAAATAGCCATACTTTTGCAGTGAGCGAAGAAATGGCCATACTTTGGCAGTAAGAGAAGAAAAAGCCATACTTTGTCAGGGCGAGAAGAAATAGCAATACTTTGTCAGTGGGAGAAAAAATAGCCATACTTTTGCAGTGAGGAAAGAAATAGCCATACTTTGGTGAGGTGATTAACTAAACATATATGGAAGAAAGACATTGTGATACAGCTAATATAATTAAAAGACGAATGGAGAGCATTCCAGAATGAGCAGTAGGGGAAGAGAGAGGGGAATAAAATAAGACAATTACGGCAAAAGAAGGGAATATGATCGAGTGAGTGAAAGAAAGTGTGTGTAAAGAGGAACAGAGAGAGAAAAAAGAGTTCACAGAGGAATAGACAGTGTGTGTAAAGAGAGAGAGAGAAAGAGAGAGAGAGTTTACAGAGGGAGAGAGAGTGCGTGTAAAGACGGGGATAGGGTGTGTAAAGAGGGAGAGAGAGAGAGTTATAAGAGAGAGACAGTGTGTGTGTAAAGAGGGAGAGAGTTTATAAAAGGGGAGAGAGTGCGTACCATGAGAGAGAGAGAGAGTGTGTGTGAAGAGGGCGAGAGAGTATGAAAAACGGTAGAGAGCGTGCAAAGAGGTAGAAATAGTATGTAAAAACGACAGGGTGTGTGTAAAGTATAGTGAGTGTGTCACCAAGGAGAGAGTGCGTGTGTAGAGAGTGAGAGAATGTGGGAAAAAGAGAGACAAAAAGAGTGTGTGTAGGGAGGGAGATATGTTAAAAGGGTGAGTGAGTGTGTGCATACAGGGATAGAGATAGTGTGTTAAAATGACTAGACAGTCTGTATAGAGAGAGTGTGTAAATAGGGAGAGAAATGGTGTAGATTTGGAAGAGAGTGTTCAGCGAGATAGGTGTGTAAATAGGGAGAGAGAGTGTGTGTGTAGAGGCATAGTGTTTAAAAAAGGGAGAGAGAGTTTACGTACAGGGTGAGTGAGAGTGTGTGTAAGAGAACTAGAATGTGAGAAGAGAGACGAAATCGCAACAAAAAAACTGTAGAGCAGGTTTGTTTATTAATTTATAGTTTCCTTTTACAACCTTTAACCATATGTGTGTGTATGTATGTGTGTGTGTGTGTGTGAATGTATGTGTGTGTGTGTGTGTGTGTGTGTGTGTTTAGCCGATCCTGACGATGTGAAATCTTGTCCAGATGTATCCATCTCAATTTTAGTTTTGATTTAACTAATATAAGATATTTGTTATTTCAAACATTTTTACAGTAAAGGCAGACATGCAAACATCTTCATGATAAAAACAAAGCAACACAATTAAGTCTAATAATGTATAATTTTTTCGACAGCAAAGAAATGTCAAATAGTTCGTTTTAAACATCTACCATCCAGACGAATATATTTATTTAAAATTTCGTTTCAAGATAATTAAATTATTTTTTTTTTAAAGAAAAAACAAGAACCCTTTGAAAAAGAAGTATGTACAAAAATATTGTGAAGGAAATGATTCGATTAAAATCTCTTGAATTGAAATGGACTCTTAAAAAAAATACTTTAGGAAGCAACTGGAATATGACAACTATAATCATCATTGGAGATGTACAATTTAATGGATTATGATTTGAATCAGGGGCTCTCAAAACTCGCGTAAGGGGGTGGGGTGGCTAGGAATGTTTTAAAATCGAGAGAAGTTGCGAAACTGCAAAATAAAAAAATAAAAAAAAAAAACAAACAAAACGAAAAAAAAAATTAAATGGCATTTTAACATAAAGTCAAAGTCGACATTTATCATTACGAAAAGTTTGAGACTGAACACAATGACACAGTAGACGTGTATCAATACGAAACAGTTGAGAATGAACAATGTAACACAGGCAAGTTTTATATAAAACAAAGTCTTGAGGAGGCGTAGCGTTGTAGCGGGTGCCAGCGTTATATTGACTTACCTTTTGATCCTCGTCACTCTGAAAAAAAAAGAACTTCGAAAGTTATTTACATTGTTTTAAAGGGCCTGAAGCCAAATAGTTTGTAAACCAATACGCTACAGACTCCCGTGTGTTTTAAAAATCGCTATTTTCGTA